TACCTTGTGTGAGGGATGCGAGGCCGCTGTGTCCTGTGACGGAGACCTCCCTCCTCCTCCCCTCCCCCCTGTACTCAGGCATCCTCTTGGTGTCAGTGTGTGATGCCCGGGGACAGGGATGCTCCGGGCTGGAAGGCGCTGAATCACCGCCGCCTGTATGGAAGTGGCCTCGGCTCTGATGCTCATTTACCTCTTTGTTGTTTCCGGGCTGGCCTCGCACACAGAGCAGGGGGGACTTCAGCGACTGAACAGGAGCAGCAGTGGCCGCAGTCCGCCTCTTCTCTGCGCTGTCACACTTCTCAGTCACCCCTGTCACAGGCGGCGGGGGGTCCGGGGCGCGCCGGACGCCATCTTGTTTTTACCCACGAACTCCGACCCCGAATACACGGCGGCGGGAGCGCGCATCGCAACGTCACGCGACAACACAACGGTGCGGTGCGCGCGTCTGATTCCCCGCTAGATGCCTGGATGGTGCGGCCAAAGGCTGCAATGGGGAAGCCGTAGCATGATGACGGGGCCCGGGCTTTAGTCTGACACGTGTACTTGCCCGGGAGCTCTCCGTTATGTGTATAGATGGAGAGAGAGGCCAGTCCGGGCTGTGTAACTGATGTGTGTACAGGTGCCTGACCGGCCTTTACACGCTTGTATCCTGACCACAAGAGAGTGGTCATAGGGAGCATCCCTGTATGTAGAACAGGAGACCCCTAGAAAGGAATTTATCAAAACTGAAGCAGTTGCCAATAGTAACCAATCAGATTCTAGCTTTCATATTTAAATCTGAACAAACTGATGCTGATTGGTTGCTTTGGGCAACTGCTCCTGTTTTTGAATGCTCCAGTTGTGATAAATTCCCCCTTACCCTAGTTTGTAGGGTTAAGCCTCATGCAGACTTGATGGTGAGCGTGCTCTGGTGATTTTGAAGCTTTTTTTGCGTTTTTCAAACTTGACCATAAGTCCCCGTTCACACCAAGGACAAGGAGTAGCGGGCATGTGCCTTCTTACACATTTGGAGTAGCGGGCATGTGCCTTCTTACACGGGAAGCAGGCTTCCCAGCCAATCAGAAAGCTGGGCTGCAGGTAATGTCATGGCTTCCTGTCCAAGCAAGCCAGCTTCCCAGCCAATCAGGAGGCTGGGCCGCTGGTCATGTCTTCATGACCAATCAGCATCGAGCTGGCTTCCCAGCTAATCAGGAAGGCGGGTAATGGCCCGCCTCCCGGCTTCTTGATTGGTCGAGAAGCCGACTCAATGCTGATTGGCTGGGATTCCAGCTTCTCGGCCAAAGAGAATTGAGTTGGCCAAACAGCATGGAGCTGTCTTCCTGGCTAATCAGGAAGCCAGGCAGCGGGTAATGACCCGCCTCCTGCCTTCCTATTTGCCTGGAAATCGGCTTCTTGCTGATTAACCGGGAAGCTGGCATCCCAGCTAATCAGCATGGAGTCAGCTTCCTCCGCAACGGGAATTGCCCAGGAAGCCACCAATTGCCCAGGAAGCATCGGCAAGTACCGAAAGACAAATATCGGTACGCGATACCGAAAAATGGTATCGGTGCATCCCAGTTTTTACCAATGAAAAGCTATTTGGTAGGAGGAGAAGACGGTTGTTAGGCACGATATTGTGTTGTGCACATTTTTTAAAGGAGAACTATGAGATGAGTGATTTCCACTCACCTCATAGTTCTAGCCGACCTGTGACAATGAGACTGTCACAGGTCGGCTCAGTAGATCGGGAGGTGAGCGAACACATACCAGGTTCGCTCACCTCTCGCGCCTGTCACGGCTCTCTGCCGTGATAGGGGGAGGGCTGGATTCCCCGCTCCGATCTGCCAGCGCTGACTGGCGGAACGGATGGGGGAGGGGGCAGGTACAGCTGGCTCTGCCTCTACATAGATAGAGAGAGCCAGCTGTCACTCACGCAGCTGGGCGGATCCCGTCATCTAAGTCGGGATCCGCTCCGGCTGCGGCGTCTCAGTATACCGTGAGCTGTAGCTCGCGGTATACTGAGCTTAGGGTAACGGGAGGACGCTAGTTTGTGTCCTCCCGTTACCCTAAGGAGAACTATGGGGAAAAACACTGACCCCATAGTTCTCCTTTAAGTGTTCCCCCTTGAAGTCTAGGGACAGAAATGTGAACGAGCACTATTGAACATAATGTCACGTTATGGGAAACGCACAACAGGATGCTCCAGTGTGAATGAGGGTTGATTCTGCTCCAATGTCAGTCTATGCCAAACAAGGTGAAAATGCCACTGCTTTACCTCCTCCCCCACATCGCAGTTGAGACAAATAGGGCTCAAAAAACACATTCAGCCTAAAGAGGAACTTCACCCCATTTATGTAAGACTTAATTCTAACTCTGATATATTTTCCTGTATAAAGAAGTACTTGTCCATGAGCTCCAGCATTGTCTTCCATGAAGTTCTGCTTTCATGTCGCCATCTTCCAAGTTTTTGGGGTTTTTTTGTTTCCTGGTTCCCCACACATATGCAGACACACTGGAACTCTCTGCCAAGGTACTGGAACTGGTAGAGATCTGTGGAGTGTATATACAAGATCCCGCTGTGAATGCACACCCCAGATCTCAGTCAGGTAATCAGAATAATACAACACACATTTGCCAATTCCCAATTATCTGACAAAGATCAGGATCCCACACGTGTAGGCACACTGCAAGTCTCTGCCAGGCACTGGGAACTGGTAGAGATCTGTGGAGTGTACATACAAGGTCCTTGTATGTAAGTCAGATCAATGTCCCTGGACGCATCAGTTGTGCCTAAAGGCATAGCAATCTCTTCCTAACTGCATGTAATCGTATGTACCCCAACCTGTCCGTCTATCTCCCACCTTGACTGCCTTTAGGCGTTCCCTAAAGACTAATCTCTTCAAGGAAGCCTATCCCACCTCAACCTAACCACTGAACCATCACATTCTCAAATAATTCATCCCCACACAGGTATCTCCTCATGTATCATTTCCCCCTCCTCTTTTAGATTGTAAGCCCTCACGGGCAGGGCCCCCCTTACCATCTTGTATTGTAATTGTAATGTCTTCCTTATATTGTAAAGCGCTGCGCAAACTGTTGGCGCTATATAAATACTATGTAATAATAATAATGTGATACAATTACATGTAGACTGCTGCTGTCACCCAAATATTAACTTGAACGTGTGGCAGTGGCCGCTTTTAAACGGCATATTTGGGATTCCTGCCGTAGGAATTCGTAGGTTCCTTAACGGTAGGTGTGAATGCTGCCTTACCGGCGTGTCTGTGCATGCGCAGGGTCAACATATTCCATCCTATGAAAACATTGCCTCCTGGAATGTGTGGCTTGGACATAACGGGAGGAATCAGGAAGTTCAGGGCTTCAGAGAGAAAAAAAAAGTATTCAGGGTGAGTTTAGATTGAACTCGGTCCAAGCCTGAGCTCATTCAAACACAGAAGCTACAAGGGAATTCCCCGCCCTGTAGCTGACCATAAACAAAAGGGATCGGATGCTTGTGCTGACATAATTTACCTTATATGACTCCATTAGGTAACTGTCATTTACTTAATGTAGCCATGTAAGATCAATGATATCACCGCACCCCACCCCTTTGCTTACATCAAGCTGGGTGTATGGAATCAGCTTCTTTCCATGTTTGGGAGGAGTTCCTTCCGTGTTTGGAGGAGCTCAGATTCGGACAGAGTTCAGTGTCAAACCTGAGCTCATCCCTATACTTGACATTAAAAACAAATCAGACTGTCTTCAAATGTGTAAGAGGAAGGATGCCTACTCCAAAGCTGAAGATCTGCTTTACAATGTATATCTGGGCAAAATAGTTTCAGCAAAATGGATTCAGTATCTTTGCAGTATTCCATGTGTTATCTACAGGGCACAGTAGAGATGTGGGGGCTGGCAGCGAGGGTGCAGGCCTCTGACACAGCCAGAAGTGTGACAGATGTTAAAGATCTTTTAGTAAGGTTATCTCTTTGGCAGCACGGGAAGTGGAATAGATATTATTAACTTTGCTTTGCAGGGAGCTGCTATTTTCAGCTTTTAAAAATAACACCAGAGTCTTATAAAGTAAATATTTCAAGCCTCAAAATGGTGTGCGCTTGCAAAATGGCAAAAACCAAAGATACCTAAAATTATAAATAAGAGCTTTACAACTTATTAGGTCATCTAAGATACTGTATTTGTTAAAGAAGAACTATGGGATGAGTAAAATACACTCATACTAATAGTTAGAGCCGACATGTGATACTGAAGCTGAGCTCAATGGGTTTGCTTTTCCCACATTTAGTAATGAAGAGGGCCATGGGGCCAGCTCAAGCAGGTGAAGCGAAGTCTGGAACCTCAACAGCTCTTGACAAAACTCACCCTACCATCTGCAACAGCAAATTTCTCACACAAGATTTTCCCCCAGTTGCTATTATGAAACAACTGTTGCCTTAGCACACCCAGCATTTCAATGCAAGCTTGGCAAAGCTGCTGGCATTTCCACTGCTCATATACCAGCTAGTGGAAACAGCCACCAGTTCATGGCCTGTGCTGTCAGAGTAGGTATCCAGTAGACATTACTTTTTCCAGAAGGCCTCTCCTGCCCTCCACCTATATGCGGTGCAAAATATACAGTATCTCTTGTCAATGCTGTCAACGCCAGGGAGCACATTACCACCAACACCTCATCCATTGAGCAGGGACCAGTGGCGTAACCAGAGTTCTGGGCGCCCGGGGCAGAAATTTCCCCCCCCCCATTATATAAACAACCACTGGAATTGTACCCTGCACCTCCCCCCCACACACACATGTTTTTATTTTAATTTTTAAAATTTTAATATTTTATTTTTTTTGAAACTTTTTCATTTTTTTAAATCAATTTTTATTTATTAATTAATTTTTTATTAAATATTTTTATTTTTTACTTTACTTTTAGGGGCTTCGGGGAAATATTGGGGGTCTAAACAGACCCCTGATATTTCCCTTTAAAAATAGAAAAAGAGATTGAGGACACAGAGTCCTCAATCTCTTTTTCTGTGTCCCCTGTTATCAATGAACAGGAATCCTTTATGAGTGTTCCTGTTCATTGATAACATGGTATGTTTACTATAACTACAATTATGAATGAACAGGAGGAGATATAGATCACTCCCATTCATTCATAATTGAGGATATAGTATACATACCAGGTCCTCAATTATGTACAAACACTCAGCGATCACTGATCGCTGAGTGCTTGTACCCGTTCTCCTCTCTGACACACACTGTCATAGGAGGCTGCAAGAGGAGAGCCCAGCCTCCTGTGACAGCGCTGGCTGTCTCCGCCCCCACACCGCTCTGCTGCACTGTGATAGGCGGCCGAGCGGTGTGGGAGGAAAGACACCGGCCGCTCACAGCGCTCGTCCCGCAGCGCTCGGCCGGCTGTCATTTTCTCTCTGATTCCTTTCATCCCCGCTGGGCACTGCTCTGTGTCCCAGCGGGGAT